GAGCTCCGAAACCTAGATTCCCAGGAAGTTCTCTGGAGGTGCGGATACTGCTGGCTAGGGTGCCACACTCTGAGAACCACTGATTTTAAATAATGTGCCACCTGTTTTTATCTAATAATTAACACTTAATTATCACAAATCTTACATTGATTTAAGATCCTCATATTAATTTCAAAATAATCTCTACATTCCTTTGTAATTTGAAAGCAGGCAGGGATTATTAGGACTCAAAAAGGCAGATTTTTTCTTTCTTTGGAATCCAAATTAGCATCTTAGTTCATTGATCAGTGTGCCTCAATGTCCTCAACTGTAAAATGGGGTCAGTGGAGAGACATAATAAGATAATATAAATACAAGCCCTTGGAAGAGTATCAGGTCATATTAAGTATTCAATAAATGTTACCTATTACTCTATTACAATCATCCTCGCCTATTTTCTGTTCATTATTGAGGAAAACTCATTCATGTTTGCTACATGTTATACATTACTGGTATAGGTATAAAATGTTATCTACCTATGGTGAAATATCCCGGAGCCCCGACTGACTCAGTGACAACGGGAAAAAGGGGAGGGGATGGGCGAGATCAAAGATCCAGGTTCTGATCACAGTTCCGCCACTAAACTGCTACCTATACACATGTCATTTAACCCGGGTCTCAATTTCTGCTTCCGAAAATGCTCACCTGGGACATGAAGATCAAATGAGAGAACGAGGGTATAATTTTTTTTTAAGCACTGTAGTATCCCTGTGGTGAGTGAAATAGCTCTCCTCAGGAACAGTTCACAAGACATTAACAAGCGAGACCAGTGGCCACAGCCCCTGTATTCAGATCCTTCAGCGACATCCCAATGATCTGAATCGCCATAGCTGCTATATACTGACATTCTCCAATGTCACCAAGTCGTAGCTATTTAAAAAATACTGAGCAGGAATATGTAACATTCCAAATACTCCTGCAAAGCAAAATTTAACAAAGATATAAAAGTAATTTCAGGTGTTTATTGTGTAGCAGCTGCTAAAAATCCTCACTTTACGCCTTTAGAATAACATCCATTTTGATGCAGAACTTCTATTGGCTCTGGGCTTTTATTCTGTCTAAATTCAATGTACGTACATGTATGTGTATAAGGGACGGCCATTCATTGGCAGTTTTCATTTCTAGTTGCTAAGACTTTAGGACATATCTAATGTCCTTATGCAATTGCATAATATAATTTGCATGTTTTTAAATCTTAATTTGCTGAAAACTTGGGTGTTCTAACATTTTCTTCAGACGTTTCAATTAAATTACTACTTTTTGTATTGATTCTTAACAACATGAAAATGTTCAATGCACATCTTTGATTGTATTCCTTGTATAATGCCTCCTAATATAGGAAATAAAGTAATAAAAATCATTTTTTTCTAAAAAGTACATTCCTGAAAAGCAGTATATAAACATTTTCAAGCAAGGCGTTATTTTAAACACAGCAGTAACACTCTCCATTTCAAAGAAATCCAGTTATGAAGGTTCTTTTGAAGTTTATCTTAACGACAACCTAATTTACTACTGTGTAAGTTTTCATCTTCATATATTTAGTTTTCTCAACATAGAAAGTATGTATATCCTACAAGACACTGCAGACCTTAATTTAAAATACCTAAATGTCGCCTAAAACATGTAAATGTTGATTTTTTTAAAAGCTCTATAGAAATAATGTTATCGGCTAAAGTTAATTAAAATTTGTAAAGCTAGTTTGAAAACAGAGGTGGCATGAAACGGGGAAGAACAAGGACAGACCGTTCTGCAGAGGGTCTCTAACCCTGGTGGTTCAGACGGAACGGCAGACAAACGGGACTGTCCTGTCTTTCTTTCTGTTTACCCTCAATGTGCAAATACCAACAGCTTCAATGTGTCTCTACCCCGGTGCTCCCAGAAAACACTCTAAATCTAACTCCACGGGCATAACACACGGGTATCCTGCGTTACGCTGCAGACCACGCAGATGTGTTAACCTCACAGGACACCTATCCTCCTTTCTCTTCATAGCACGTCCCCAAAGAACCTGCGTGCAGGACACAACAGAAACGCGTCTACAGAAGACTCCATGTTCACACATTCAAGACTCTGCCCAAGGACAGTTGACTAATGTAATGTTTGGGAAGTGAAACCCTGCTGGTTTTAAAGACTAGCACTGGCTGCAGCAGGCAATCAGTGACTTCGGGTCAGAGGCTTTGTGGAAGCAGTTCACCGAGTTTTCGGTTTCACTGCTGATCGATCACCCTGACAGGGAAACGCATGAGAGCCAACCTCTCACAGCTGTTCCTGTGCCGCCTTCAATGCTGATGTGCGTGCACACGCCCATCCTGTGAGGTGGCTAAGCCGTGTAGAACATCACACGCCAACGTGTCAGGAGTTAGAGATACAAGACCTTCAGCTGGAAAAAGTCGATCTCCTTGATTTATAAAACTTGGGTAGAAAGAATCATCTTGTGGCTTGACTTAGAAATCTCTAAATAACATCGTTTTGCAGAGCTCATGGCACACAAGAGCCCCTCAAATATTTTTGTCAAATGAACAAATGGACATCGAAATGTGCACTTCCAATGACAATTGTTTGAAAGGAAACTTTGTGAAAAAGGAAAAAATACTTACAATGGTATTCTAAAAATATCCTCAGTTGAGACGTTTGTAAAGCGTTTGAGAACGTGGCCCACAGGAAGTCAGTGCAAGTCTCTGTCACTGGTTTGGCTCACAACGATCTTTGTGGCCGCATTAGCAGCAGCCATGAGCACTGCTGGTGAGAAGCACTCGGATCGTACACACCACTAGTGTACTCACACCTTATATACGTGGGAGAAAGGAAACCTTACAAGTGTAGCCACCGTCATCTTATAACGTGGGTTCACTAATACACAAGAAAGGCGAATTAAGCCTTATAATTTATTCTACCACAAATTAAGCCCTTACAAACAATTGTGTTTTCCATCCACTGTATTGATGCGATTCAGAAAGAACTTCACAAAAACCTATTGGTAAGACTTATGTTCACTTCTAAAATTTTCAATTAAAAAGAAAATATCAAAATCCCAAATGGTAACTGAACTGCAGAAGTTTTTCTTCATATTGAAGCATAGTATAACATAGGAGTCTGCTAAAAAAATGTGGGGGGTCTCTCCTCTGACACTTGGACGGCTGACCACAGACGACAGACGAACTGAGCGAGGCAGTCCCCCGAGACCCCTGGGAGGACTGAAGCAGGCTACACCCTTCGAGTTCACTAGGGAAGTCAGCGGGAGGCTGTGCCAAGCTCCCTCAGCCTCGGGGTGAGAGCGACCCTGCTGCGGTGAAGAGCACAGCAGTCAGGGTTCGGACGGGTCCCTGCCTTCCACGGTGAGACTCACCTGACCACCTCTTTGTGGCCAGTGGAAAGTCAATGCCATTATTTATCTGACTTAAGGCAGTGCAAAGTTTTATAAGAAATAGAGATTTTAAAAATAAGATATCATTTTAAACTAAACACACCAGGATATTCCCCATTTCAAGGAACTTCAGTTACAAAGTCTCCTCTAAAGCCCACCCAAGTGGTGACTCCCTAATTTACAAAATTTTGATTAGAAATTCGTATCTATGGAACAGGGGAAAAGTCTACTGAATAGTTTGTCCTGCATATAAGTGGTAAGACACAACAAAACTGCTCAATGACAGAAAATAACTTACAACTGACGTAACTGCGCTGAGGGGTTGTCTAAAGACGTAACCACGCAGTTTAACTGAGTGTTCAGCGAAGGCCAATCAGAAGCTCCACGCAGTCAGGGGAGGTCTGCGGGAGTGAGCCGCTTCAGTAAAACTGAGCCAACCAAGCAACAGAGAGGAGTCCTAGCTATCATCACGCTACACTTTTCTTCTCTTTTCAAACAATCGGTTAACTGCTAAAAAGTAATAAAAGTGTTCTTTTAATACAAGTAGCAGAATTTTGGGGTGGGTGGGTAACGATTACTATCCAAAAAGGAATGGCTAAGGCAGAGAAATATAGAGTAAACTTAAAACTCATTGTCAGAACTATAATATAATCTGTGGAGGCAAGGAAATTAGATTTCTACAAAGTAGTACCATTATCTTAATTTCAATCACTTGAATAAAATCTAGATTGGAACTTCATTTCTTCTTTTATAGTTAGTTGTGCCTCACTTCGCAGGGTCCCAGTACTTTCACCAAAGAAGTGCCTAATTCATTAAAATAGTTTTCTGTTTCAATAAGCTAAGCCAACGTATGTATCTTTTCAAGTGGTGAAAAAATGTGAATAAAAATGAAACAAAATCCCTAAATATAAACAACAAAGACAAAAGTAAAGATCAAGCTAATTTAAAATGCTATTGGAAAGATACATGGAAAGTTACCTTTTATAAGAAGATTTTGCAACAAAAAAGCATTAAAGGAGAAGCATATTGGTTCTCTTTTTCGCAGGTTTAGTTTTAAAACACGATTTCTGAATGGAAAGAAATCATTCTTTAAAACTCCCTTTTCTTTCTTTGCACTTAATTAGGCTGGCAGAATTATGAGAGGTGCTGAAAAGCAGCAGATTAAGGAAAAGCAGGACACAACTAAACATCATTTACATCGTTTTCTCTCATTTCGTCAGTGTTCAGAGTTGTGGGCAATCACTGACATACAGAAATCACTAAGACATTAAAACTACAACTTCACACTGTCCAAAGAGATGACAAGTGTCTCAGAATATCAATTTAAAGTTCATAGAATAAGTCACATAGATGAAACGCTGGGTCGTACTGGGTGTATGGCACAGCCGCCTGGTTTGCTTTGTCTCAGTGAGTAGGCTGTACTTGTCACGTGAGGGGTGCATCACATAGCAGCAACGAGAGCCTTCCAAGAAACAATTCAGAGAAAAGACGTGTCTACCCTTTGGACATTTCTCTCCCGGATGTAAAAACGCCCTGACAGCTACAGTCACTAAACAAAGACAAGCATCCCTGCGGCTCGGGCCCAGGGGGCTGTTACCTCGACAATGTCCGAGTTGGTCCTGCTCTCGTGCGGCTCGTTGTACTCGGTGTACTTGAGGAGCACCTTGTCCATGTCGGTGCTGGCGTACTGGAACAGCTTGTTGGAGCTGTTGAAGATGATGAGCGCTATTTCACAGTCACAGAGCACGCTGAGCTCGTAGGCTTTCTTCATTAACCCAAACTTCCTCTTTGTGAAGGTGACCTAGACGATCACAGAAACAAAAGTGTATTTTTACCAAAAGCATTAGGAGAGCTTGAATACAGGCTACCTGAAGATGAGTCTTCTTAACACTGAGTCCGATTTCAAAGGAGGAAAAGGTTCCCAGCCTTGTGCTCCCATGAGCCTCTGCGTCTCCCGCTGGCCACAGGGCTACGGTCCTACAGGAGCCTTGTACCTCCAAGGGCGCTGGCGGGGCGGCCGCTAGGGAGGTGTTCCTTTCACCGGCCCCGCTGCAGGAGGCAAGGAACCAGAGGAGACAGTTGACCAGTGAACCCTTAGCATCCAGTTAAAAATGGTTCCCCTCAGAAACCCGTCCTACATCAAGGCATCCATCATCGCTCCAACTTTACTCCCTAAACGACTAAGCACCCACTAATGTAACTTGTACTTGCCCCTCCCTCCCAAGCCCTTCTCCTGCGACCACTAAGATTCACAGTCTAGGATCAGCAAATGCCCTAATGTCCTTTGAATATTTCTTTCTTTAACTGAAGCTGTCTCCTGAAGTCCTCTCAAAGAGAGATCAATTTTTGTTTGTTTTTAAACACTACACTTCCTATACTAAAGGACCTGGAAGATATATCCCTTTTGTTCCCTATTCTCTCTTCCAAATTATCTTTCCTCCCTTCCCCTTCAAAACCCCCAGATGCTTTGAAGCTCAAGTCATGACATTTATACCACCCAATAACCTTCCGGTGGCGGGCACCAGGCGACCCGCTGGTCACTCTCCCTCATGCGCACTGAGAAGCATCACCTGACTCCTTCTCTGTCTGGCCCTGCTCTTTTCTCGGGTGACTTCAGCATCAGGTGGGGGAAACCACTACAAATACCACGGCCTCTCAGTTCCTTTATCTTCCAACTTACAAGTGATCAACCTCCACCACATGTGAAATGCCCACTCCTAAAATCATACCTTGAACTCTGCCACCAGCAATAATCACACCCGCCCCCGGAGACCTCACTTTCATGCATCCCACTTTCCTGCCTCTCTTCCTACTCTTCTCGGCTGCATGGTCTCTCCAGAAGTTCTTTCACCTTTATCAAGTGCTCCAATTACTGATCTCATGACCTTATTACCATCTAGTCTCATGTCCTTTCTCACCTCTGGATTCCTTGATCCATCACGATTTTCACTCCCTTGCAAACACACATGACTCCTTTACCCCTTTCTCACTCACATGCTTGCCTGGCACAGCCCCAGTCAGGGACTGACCCCCTATCCACACACCAAATCATCCCTGTCTCTCTATCCAAGCAGCTCACACTCCTCCTGGGAACACCTGAGCACACACACATGCACACACTCGATGTTTCCAAGCTCGTGATCATAAAACTCAACATTCGATGGTGCCTGACAATCAAAAATTCCCTTGTGTCTTCGCCCGTCCTCCAGGTCAGCTATTTCCCACGCTCTCCCCCCGCCGCAGACCACTGAGACAGCAGACACAGGCGCGTCCCGTCACCGAGTCAGCAGCTTGAACGCTGCATCTGCACCCCGCCACCCTCTCCCTCCTCTGCTGCTGGTGTCAGCATTCCTGGTCCCGCTCCTCCCCAGATGCCACAGGCTTCCCTCTCCCCCCATCAGTGACGGTCTCCTTCCTCTCCACCAGGTCAAAGGCCGCAAGCCCAGAAACGTGCTCTAGCCCCCCTCCGACTCCACACTGCTCCTGCAGCCACCACCCCTTCTCCCTGCTCCATTTCAGAGCTCGGGTGTTTGGAAGACACGTCTGCGGCCATCCCCAGGTTCACACCACCTGTTCTCTCCCACCCCACTGCCCTCAGGCTTCCACTCCCCACGTTCCCCTAACACTTGTCAACAATAACCTTCGATTTATGTGAGTAAGGTCAATCGTCCCTTTTCCGTCCTTATCCTAGCAGAGTGTCAGCAGCACTGGGCAAGGATGACCACGTTCTCGTTCTTCAAACACCTTCTTCACCAAGTGCTCAGCGCACAGCACCCTCCCAGTGCTCCTCCTGCTTCGGTGGCTGCTGCTCCTCAGCCTTCGGAGCTGCGACCTCTTCCTCCCTCTGCTCAGCGCTGTGTACTGAAGGGCCCAGGGGCTTCGGCCTCGAGCTCCTTCTCCGCTTTACCCCCACTGTCCTTGCCGGGTGACTGCATCCAGAGTCGTGATTTTGAAAAACTATAAATATGCTCTTTCAATAGACTTTTCCATTTCAGCAACTGGTACCACCTTCCATTCAAACAAAGCCAAAAGACTCTAAGAGCTGTCCTTGATCCCTCTTACCAAATAAGCTACCACACCAATCCATCAACAAATTGTGTCTACTCCACCTCTCAGACACATCTCAAATGTCCATGCTTCTGTCTACACCGCTACCACCCTTGGCTGACTTACAGCACCTCTAATGTGTATTATTTATGTAACCATCTTACTGCAGTTCCTGTTTCACCTACTGTACCCTATAGTAATAGTTGCCATTTACCTTCCAGTGTGACATTTTTGACATATAAATCAAAATGTGTAAGTGGGAGTTTAGTTTTTCATTGCACTGAAAGTAATATTCAAGCTCATTAAGAAAACAAAATAAATGATCTGGCCTCATTCTCACTGACCCTATTTCATCACTCACAACTACCTTCATTACTAAGAATTCCTCCTATAAGTATGAATTTTCGTTTTGAAATAGGCTTATAAACTTTGGTACCTGAAACATTTAATTTCATTTTATTTTTATGTACTATAAAATTTAAATAATTTGTAAGTATCAGTATTAATAAAGCTATTTCAGTGTTTATTAGCCAAAATAAGTAAAAATTTTATTTTTCAATTGCCATTTTACTCCAAGATTATAATCACTATAAAGAAAGAATAAAGCTAAAGACCTTACCTATAAAACTCAGTGCTCCTATAAACTGAGACACATTTTGCTTTAACCTAACCAGTTTTTCTAATTTTGTATCAAATCCAAAACTCAGCAAATATACTTCTCTACATTTAAGAAGGCTGGCCGCGCCACCTCTAAAAGACCTTCTATACTTAAGTCCCAAGTACCTGCAAAGATTCTCGCATGATATATATTTAGGCATATCTTTAGTTCATTGTTGAACTGAAAAGTCGATAAGAGACTTAAGGTTTCTGGTCGAGCACATACAGGAGCTTGAAGTTGCCACTCCATCCTAACAACAAATAAAAAGCTGAATAAGCTGAAAATTTAACTCTTCTTCCATCCCTCAGAGAACTGAGGTCAGAGCGCAACTCCTGCCCCCCTCGCCCCCAAACTGGAGCCGGCACCAGGGCAGGAAAAGCAGAACTGTAGCTGAGGAGATGCCGGCGGCTTCGTGTGGACAACCATCAGAGATAAAAACCCCAGGCCCAGCCTGAGGGGACACACCTGTGCTTCTGCTGTTTTACCTCCCTGGGGTCCAGGGTACAGATCAGAGGAACGCCCCTTGGGCTTCCAGCAGGGAGAGGAGAAAGGAGCTACTCTGAATATGCCGGGACATAGGTTCTTAAGGAGGCCTGCCCTCGAGACAGACTCTGTTACCACAGCCTAACGAGGGGAGGAGGGAAACAGCCTGTGCAGTTCCTCGCAGCCATCCGAGCCCACCTGCGGCTGGGGGTGCACACCACAAAGCACTCACAAAGTGCGCAGTCCGCCGGCACAGGTTCCCGGAAGACTGAGTCCTGGTCACAGGACGACAGGACACTTCTCTCCCCACACCGCGTGACTAAGGGCCCACCACTGCGGTGCCTTTTACCTAGTGCATCACGCCTGGCTCTCGGCAGAAATCGCACGGCATACTGAGGGGCAAGAAACACACCCTGAAGACGCAGAGCTCGCATCAGAAGCAGTGTCACATACGGCAGAACTGTCGGACTTATCAGACCGGCAACTCAAAATAACTACGACTAACGTGCCAAGGGCTCCCATGGCGACAGCAGACAACGTGCAGGAACAGGTCAGCCGAGAGACGGGAATTCTAAAAGAATGACAATTTCAAATGCTGGCAATAAAAAAACACTGTAAGATAAATGAATTGTCTTTGATGGGTTCATCTGTCAGCTGGAAACCAACAAGGAAAGAATCTCTGAGTTTGAGGATATGTCAACAGAAACTATGAATACCAGAAGAAAGAGAAATAACAGAAGAAATATTTGAATCAATAACATTTGGGAGTTTCCTCCAAATTAATGTCAGACACCAAACCACAGATCCGGGAAGCTCTAAGAACACCAATGATATGAATGCAAACAACAAAAAAACTCTTAAAACCCTAATGACACCAAGGCATATTACATCTAAGCTATATAGATTCAAAGATTTTTTAAAAAAATCTTGAAAAAAGCCAGAGGGACAGAACACCTTATATACATAAGTGTAAATATAAGAATTACATCCAATTTCTCCTCAGAAACCATGCGATGAAGAAGAGTGTGTTTAACATGTTAAGGGGGGAAAACCCACTAACCTAAAATGCTGTTAAGCAACTACACTTCAGAAGAAATAAAGACTTCCCTAGACAAACAAAAACAGGAAATCCATGGCCAGTAGACCTGTTGTAAAAGAAACGCTGAAAGTTCTTCAGAGAGAAGGATAATAATACAGACCAGAAACTCTGATCTACATAAAGGAAGTGTTGTTATTCTTAATTGATGTAACAGATAACAGTTTGCTCACAATAACAGCAACAATGTATTGAAATGATTATAGCTCATGTAACAATGGAAGGAACAACAGCGACAATACAGGGGATGGAAAGGAGGCATTACGGATACTTTGTTATGATAAGGCAGTGAAAGCCCATGAAGCTGAATAGAGGTATTTGAAAGTAAACTTGGGTTAGTTACAAACGTAAACTGCAAAGTCTAGGGCAACCATTAAAAAGAGAAAAAAAAAAAAACTAAGTATAACTGATATGTTAAGTAGAGAAAATGGAATCAAAATAATCCATTAAAACCACCAAAAGAAGAAAAAGCATAAGATAAGAATAAAAACAAAGAACAAGAGTAATAAATAGAACACGAATGCAGTAGATACTAATCCAACAATTGCTTTAAAAGTCAATGTTCTAAATTTGCCAATTAAAAAGTAAAGATTGTCAGCGAATCAGAAAATAATACCTAACGATATATGGTGTCCACAAGAAGTCCACTGTCAATATAAAGACACACATAGGGTAAAAGCAAAGGGAGGGAAAAAGACATCCTCTACTAACACTAACCAAAAGAGAACTGAAGAAGCTGTGTTGATTTCAGACAGCAGATTTCAGAGCAAGGAAAATTATCAAGATCAAAAAAGGGCACCACATGATGACAAAGGGGTCAGTTCTCCAGGACAACATAACAATCCTTAGACCCTTAAAACGTGTGAACCAAACAACAGAGCGTCAAAGATCTGTGAGGCAAGGAGAAACAGATGAATTCATTATCATAGTGGGAGATTTCAATACCCTTCTACCAACAATGTTGGAGAAAATCCGTAAGGACATGTATGATTGGTATCTGCTTCATCCAACAACAGCAGAAGACACATTACTCTAGAGCTCACATGAAACACTAAGACACATTCTGGGCCATAAAATACAGCTTAACAAACTTAAAAGAACAGAAATCATACAATGTATGTTCTCAGATGACAATGGCATTAAACAAACAAAAAAAATCAGTAATAGAAAGATAACTGGAAAATCCCAAAATACTTGGAGATGAAGTAGCACACTTCTAAGTAACACAGAAATCAAAGAAGCAATCTCAAGAGAAATTAACTATTTTGAACTAAATGAAAATGAAAATACAACTTATCGACTTGTGAGATGCAATGAAAGCGAAGCCTGGAGGAAACTGATAGCACCGAATGCACATATGGGCAAAGAAGAAAGACCTAAAAGCAATAATTTAAGCCACCACCTTAGGAAATTTTCAAAAGAGCAAATCAATCCAAAGAAAGCAGAAGAAAGAATAAGAACAGAAATCAATAAAACTGAAAACAGGAAATCAATAGAGAAAAATCTACAAAACCCAAAACTGGTCATCCAGATACCTCCAGCCAGGGTAACTAAGAAAACAAGATACAAATTACTAAGACCACAAATGAAAGAAGGGATGTCACAACTCAACTACAGATCCCATGGATAATAAAAGAAAACAACACTATGCCTATAGGTTTGATGATCTAGATGAAAGAACAATTCCTTGAAAGACACAATCAGCCAAACCACACAAGAAAAAAACAGGTCTATTCAGACTCTCTATTAATTGGATCAATAATTAACAACCTTCTAAAACAGAAAGCACCAGGCCCAGACGAGCTCCCTGGTGAATTCCAGCAAACACTTAAGAAATTATACCAATACTCTACAATCTTCCAGAAGAGAGAAACAGTACCCCCTACCTACGGTTCTGGTTTACAAGGTCACCCATGGTCAACTGTGGTCTGAAAATATTAAACGGGACATTTCAGAAATAAACAATTCATGCGTTTTAAATTGGGCGCCATCCTAAGGAGCACAGTGGAACCTCGAGCCGCCCTGCCCGGGGCGTGATTTGGTCCAGCACATCTGCACCGCACGTGCTGCTCACCTGCTGCTGGTTCAGAGGTCCTCTTGCGTCCAAGTTACCCTTATTTTACTCACTAACGGCCCCAAAGCCCAACAGTAGTGATGCTGGCAATTTGGACACGCCCAAGAGAGGCTGGAAAGTGCTTCCTTTAAGTGAAGAGGTGTACGAACAGGAAAAAACACTGTAGGTAGAAGGCTTTGGTACTATTTGCAGCTCCAGGCACCCGCTGGGGGGTTTGGAATGTGACACCCGTGGATGAGGGGGAGTCCTGCACTGACTACAGCTTCAGAGGACACCACTCTGCCTAGAAGATTGGATGTAACAGAGCTAGGTACACAGCAGGAAAACAATCCTTTAGAGTGTACATTTCCCTCAACTGTAAAGCTCTCCTTCTCCTTTTACATTTTATTGTATTTTTACCATTACCATGTATTCCCCTTATATTCCCTCCCCCCTGCAATCACCATGCTGTTGCAATTAGATGTTTATGGATGTCATGCAGAGATTTTCCTTCCAGACGATATTTTTATAAGACATCTACTTCTCACACATAGCTGCTGAGCTTCAGTGGCAGACTCTATCTTTCTAACAAGGTCCTTTCCTTCACTTAAAGACTTCCATTACACAGTCAGTCATCCCGGCCTGGCGCTCCGCTCCCTCGCCGCGTGGAGTCCTTTCCCCTGGTGGGTGCCATCTCTCTGTGCTTGTGACAAGAGGGCAGGGGCTCTTACGTGCTTTGCTGCTTATGCCCCGATAAACCCTATTTACATGTGTCCCGCATGTGCTCGTGAAGCAGGTGCCCATGCCTGCCTACATGTCAAATCCTCTGACCTGTGAAGGGAAACTTACTTGTAACCTCACTGAGAATCATTCCTTTGGAATTAGGGACTGGTTATCAGCCTTTCCTATTTTATGAGCTTTGGTAATGAACCCCACTGTGTGAGCCTTACGCTGTAGCTAAGGAACCTCCCTGAGCTGAACAAGGGCCCTCATCAATTCGGCCTATAGGCAGCCCTCGCCACTCCCACTAACTTCTCTACCAGTTGCTGAGTTTTGTCCCCAATTATGCCCACATGACCGAACAAGTGCTCGGACTTTGCAGAACACATTTTTAGTGCTGTTCTGTTCCTTGTAAGCTTCCAGAAACCAGCTGTTCTTAAAACTTCTCCTGATGAGGAGCTTTTCCAGAGACAACTTCTCTCCCTCCTGCATATGCTTTGAATAGTTTGCTCACAATAATCTGGAAAATTATTTTTCCTTCTTTTTTCTTTAAACCGAGGGGTTGTCAGATTTCCCCTTAAAGAGCCAGAGAGTGGAGACTTTAGACCTCTGAGCCACATGGTCTCTGGGGTAACTGACTACTTGAGTACGTTGTTGGAGTGGAAAGCAGCCACAGGCCGCACATACATGAATGGGCGTGGCAACAACGCATTATTCGCAAAAGCAGGCAGCCAGCCTGTGGACCACAGTTTTCAAGCCCTGCTTTAAACCCTTACAACTTCTGGTCTTTGTCGATTGGTAATCACAACTATCCTGAACTGGCAGGTGTTGGCTGACTTTGGTACTGAAACCATACGGGGTTGGCAAAAGTAGGTGTGCAGTTGTGAATACACAAAACAGAGCTTATTCTTGCATTGTTTATTAATTATTGCATTATTTTCCATACGAACAACTGTAAACCTACTTTGGCCAACCCTGTACATAAATGTTTTAGAATATTTGTGAGTAATAGTTGTAAAAAAATTCTATTTGTTGGTTAACCAGAAAATTTAACTTACCGGACACATCACTGATGGCGGTAGCTAACTTAGGAATTACCTACTTGTGCAAAGAGAGGTGATAATCTAAAGTGACCAAGATGCAGAAAACCAACAATCAAATGTACAGAAGATTAAATGTATTCTGATAAATCTACACAATGAATGGTGGTGGTGGGCTGCAGTGACTTTACATCTTTTTTACCTATATTTCTTGCAATTAACACACATGATTTCTGAAATTAAAGTTTCTCTAAAACACATGATAAAAAGCCAAAACTTGCTGATTGCTAAAATATTTAATTTACTATAGAAATAAAAATACTGACTTGAAATTAAACTTAAGAAAAATGCAACCATTTTATTCTATACTCCTTTTTAAAAAAATTATTCACATCCATTAAATATATAAATTAAAATTTCATTTACCTGTCGGTTCCTTTCATCCATTATGCGTGTGATTTGTATTTTCTTCCGCCCCATTTTCAGTCACCTTTCCTTCCTTATATTCCAAATATTTAATTCAAAAATTAATTTTCTTCAATACCCTAATGCATCGTACACAGCTTCTATTATTTCAACTCCTTGTCCAAGGGCTACAGCTGAAATTTTCTACAGGATCTAAAAGAAAACACAAATTAGCAAATTTAAGTTCTATAAATTGGCAAATCATGAAAAGGTTATACAAATTTCAAACCTGTTTTTATGCTTCACACTGACAGCGCTATTTGTCCAAATTTCTGGTTACATAAAATTAGGAAATAAGTTGAAGTGTTGTTCATTTTGCCCCTAAACTCACTGATGGATGATGTCACAAAGTGGCAATGGGCACTATCGACACAATAAAACAGCAACCCACAGAATGGGAGAAAATAACTGCAAAGCACATTACCTCATACAAGACTAATATCCAGGATACATTTAAAGATCCCCAATAATAACAAAAAATTAACTATTCAATTTAAAAAATAGGCAAAGGACTTGAATAGACATTTCTCCAAAGATATGAAAATAAGCACATGAAAAGATGCTCAAAATCCCTCTGTCACTAATGCAAATCAAAACCACAACATGAAACCACGTCACACCCATCTGAATGGCTATTATCAAAACAAAACAAACACAAAAAAGTGTTAATAGGCAGAAATTGGAACCCTTGAGCGTAGTTTTGGAAATGCAAAATGGTCAAGTTGCTGTGGAAAACAGCCAGGTGGTTACTTGAAAAAACAAATCTAGAATTACCATTTGATCCAACAATTCCACTCCTGGGTAGACACCCCCAAAAATGAAAGTACGGACTCAAGAAACATGTCTGTACACGTGCTGATAAAACACATGCTGACAGGAGCGTCATTCACTGCCGTCAACAGGTGCCAAAAACTCAAATGTCCTCTGGCACGCGAATGGAGGAGCAACACAAACGAAACCCAGAGAAGTATAGTATGCATATACTATGAACATAAAGCGGAATATTTTTCAGCCTTAAAAAAGGAAATCCTATCACAGCATGTGAATCTTGAAAGTATTGTGCTAAGCAAAATAAGCCAGCCACAGAATAAATACTATATAATTCCATTTACATGAGGTACCTGCGGCAAATTCACGGAAAAAGGAAAATGGTAGTTGACAGGGACAGAAGGAAGGAAGGAATGGGACACTACCGCTCAAGGGGACAGAGTTTCAGGATGAGATGATGAGAAAGCTCTGGAGACGGATGGTGGTGATCGCCGCACAGAAATGTGGAAGTACTTAACGCCACTGACCTGCACACTCAAAAATGGCTAAAATGGTCAATAATGAGGTATGTATATTTTACCACAATTTCAAAAAACACAAATACTCTAAAAAGTGTGCATACCCTTTAAATAATAGAACATTACAAATGTTATTCATACAAAGAGTTTTGGTAGAAATGGCAACATTTAAAACCCACCTTTAGAACTATAAAACCTATCTTTAGCAAACACAGTTGGGAATTCTTTTCCCACAGAGAAAGGAAAATACCTTACCTAGGGGATAAAAATGAATCTCTCTAATTAAACCCCCAAGGCCTATAACTCTATTCAGGCAACAATAATAGAGTAAAAACTCAGTTGAAACTAAACTCTCACCTGAGATTTTTTTGTATGTAATTTTAAAAAATCAGGAACTAGAGTTTTAAAAAGATTCCCAATATGAGTTTTGTTGTCTTAATTTAACAGATTAACAGAATCCAGCACTCTGATTCAGACCAAATTACATTAATACTGATACAGATGTTCAGCCTTTTAAAATCAATTTTGTTTACTATTTTAAAAAAACTTGTTGCTTAAGTAAGTACACATAAATATTTTAAGAGCACGGACTTTAAACAGAAGGTGAACTTTACTTTCAACTTGGCCCTTATTAAATCAACACCACTCTGAGTCTGTTCATCAAAACACACCATTTTCATGATTCCAATAAATCAACTGTGTATTAATTTTTTTCAAAAGCTACTAAAATAAACTTTCTAATAAAGTAACTATGTACAATCAACAACTAAATGCTGTAAATAAACAGGTATCTACCAAGAGACAATGATTCATTCTTTCTTTAAAAGAGAGGAAACTTAAGAATTCAATTTTGGACATATTACACTTGAAATGGTCATGGGTCGCACAACTGAAAAGGCCAAATAGGAAGCTGACACAAGACTCAGAAATCACGGCTAAAAATACACCGTGGGAGTCTTGGGCATCTAGACAGTGTTAACATTGGAAGAAAAATGCACCCACCTAGGGGTAAAATATAAAAGGACAAGAAACTGAAAGCACCACGGAAGAAAACACTTTGTCTCTGAAGACGAATAGCCCAAAATCATCCTCTAGATATAAGGTTTTTGAACAATTTGGCCATCATTTAAAAAAAATTTTTTTTCAAATCTGAATTTCAGCTTCCCTTGAAAATTCCCTTTTATTTCTAAAAATTCTAAGAAAATAATAAGACAATGACAAAAATGTGTGTATGGATGCTCACCCCCAAGGCAATCAAAATATGAAAACATAAATGGCAAAAATACTACGCAAGCACCCAGGGATAACCTGTTTCTATAATAAAATATGGTAGCCAATAATAAGGCCTAGACATTTTACAAGTGTTCACAATGCATTTTCGTGGGCAGGAAAATATGTAATTCTAGAATGCTTTTAAGAATTCTACTGAGGTAGCATGCACAAGCAAAAGGTGCCATTGTACACGGACTCATGTCACAGAAATTAATCACTTGTGGATAGTTTTTAAAAACTACATTGACTTTTTCTAAAATAAGTGCCATTGTGGGAGAAGAATTATTACAAACAGCAAAAACCCATGGCTGCCTTTAAAATCAAGAAGAAAAAGGAGGCCAGAAAGCATGAACTTTAAACATTACTGAAATGTCCCTTGTACTTTACTGTTTTGTGCAATTTCCAGTTACTCTTTCTTCACAACTAGCTTGGAATTTGAAAGCATTTTCCGACTGAGGAGGACTGTTAGAAGCTGAGTGAAAAAACACCTAGCCCTAAAATAGTTGAATAACCTTTGGTAACTGACAATTTCAAAGTAAAAGAAACTTTTTTTGTAACAGGGAAATTGAAATTATACATGCTGTATGTACCACTGGAGGCTAGAATAAAATATGCGTGCAAATATCTGAGGGAAAGTTAACAAGTATATTTGCAAGCATGCCATGTTATTAACATTTATTTTATCTTTTTAAATTTTTGTATTGTTGTCACTACCACAGATGTCCCTATTTCCCCCTCTTTTCCCCACCTCTACCCAGCCCCAACCCCACCTTCCCTCTGGCCATCACCATAGTGTACTCGGTGTCTAATCATCAGAGAGATGCAAACTAAAACCACAATGAGATACGACCTCACACCTGCCAGAATGGCCACCATCAATAAATCCACAAACATAAGTGCTGGGGAGGACGTGGAGAAAGGGGAACCCTAGCGCACTGTTGGTGGGAATGCAGACTGGGGCAGCCGCTGTGGAAACAGTAAGGAGCTTCCACAAAAAACTAAAGATGGAACTGCCTTTTGACCCAGCAATTCCTCTTCTGGGAATATATCCTAGGGATCTGGAAACACGAATTTGAAAGAATATACGCAACCTTATGTCCACAGCAGTGTTACTGACAATAGCCAAGATGTGGAAACAGCCCGAGTGCTCAGCAGTCGATGAGTGGGTAAAAAGGCTGTGGTACGTTTACACAATGGAATACTACATGACTGTAACAAAGAAGGAAAACGTCCGTTTTGCTACAGCATGAATGGACCTGGAGGTTATTGTGCTAGGTGAAATTAGCCAGTCAGAGAAAGACAAATGCCACATGCTCACACTCGCATGTGGAAAGCAATGGACAAAGTAAACTGATGAACAAAACAGAAACAGAGGCATGGACACACGGAGCAGACTGACAGCTGTCAGAGGGGAGGGGTGACGGGGAAACTGGGTGAAGGAAGGGGAAGGGATTAGCCAAAGAACATACATGTTATTAATATTTGTGATCAAAAAAATAATTTATTGTGTGCATGCTAGTTCACATATTTACTTCTCTTGAAACATATGAATACCTTTTTTGCATAGGCAATAAAAATCAGAAAAAATTAAATGGCAAACATTATCTTGTAACTAATTTCCAATAAATGAATGTCAAAAAGGTATGTAAAGTTATACATTATTAAAAAAGCAAGCTAAACATGACACAAAAGTACTGACATATATTAGTGACATATTACATAATAATACAGCATTTAAATTAATATACAGTTTATACACAGTTTACATTTTTTCCTCAAGCTCTGTAAATAGTCTATTGACAAAAAGAAGGGGAAGAAAGAATGCTGAGTCGACACTGCTCCATGACCCACTTTCATCTACGCCTTGTTCTTCACCACACTCCAATCAAGCTACTTGAAAAGTGTATGATCCTCTAATTTTCGGCTTACCTAAGAAATCATTTTGTATTGTAACCTCTACCCTTTTAGCAAAGAAGAAACTCAAGTCCAAGGAAAAAAGCGTGCCATCCAAACCCTCAGTTTGCTCACACACCCAGGAACTTTCCTCCTGTGACACAGCAGGTGTCCCTGAACTTCACTCACACGCTCCCTCCTCAGTCCTCCTCCTGATCACGGACCAGTCTACTTTGCCCTTCTATCGACTGCCTTTTCCACTTTAATCAGTGTATTTAAATACTAAACTGTACCTACTGCTATAACAGAAAAATTAGTATAATTTGCCACAAATGGAAGATAGCCTTAAAATAATAAAACAAATTATTAAGTAAAATAAAGCAATTAAATAGAATTTTGGTATGTATATACATGCATATGTATATGATGGTATTATACATTACATATATATATATCATGTATAGTATATGGTAACCACATATATACAGGGTGGGGTAAAGCTAGGTTTACAGACATCCACATGGAAAAAATACATTAATAAATAATACAAGAACAAACTGTTTCATATACAACTGCAAAACTATTTTTGCCCCACCCTGTCTTTCTATAAGGAAAAACATATATAACATATAATACATATATAATCATGTTAACTATAAGTGACAATAAATCAAATGGCCTGATTTGTAAAAATGCATACTT